TGGGTGGATTTCTGCCCAAGAAGCTGCCGTGAAAAACACAGCAAGCCTCCAGGCTGGGGGAAAAAAAGTTGACATTTCCAAGCAAAAGTGGAATTTGATTGTTCTGAAGATTAATTAAAAAGGGGGAGAAAAACCAGCTCTCAATACTTTGGAGGAAACTTGTCCTGCCCTTAGATCTTCTCTTCGATGCGAGTGGGGGGTGGAAAGCTAACTCAGAAAGACAGCAATACAATCACAATCATCATCACCACCGTCATCATCAATGGATGCAAGATAGAAATACTGTAGCTTGCAAGAAGCAATGCCTTGGGCTCCACCTGCTGGTCAAAACAAGTATTGCAACCAGGGAAATGCCAAATACAGTAGACATCATTATTTTACCACCTAGAAGAGAAGGCAGGTAAAATATATTTCACGTTTCAATGCCATGCGGCTTTCCTCTGACAGGCAATTTGCATGATTAAGTTGTCTGAGGATGTGTCGGTTTCATCCTCTCAATTAATGTCACAGTATTGCTAAATGCCTGTCAGTCAGAATGCTTGATCTTCCCTCGCCTCCTAAATATGAAAGGAAAATACTGACAGGGAACCGTGCATTTCAAATGCTCGGGATTCTGTGAAAAGAAACCCTTGCAGAGGATGCAGCAAAACTGATTTTGCAGGCAGGGGCATGAGTGGGAGACTTTGGCTACCATTTATGGCAGCCTGCAAAAGTCTCTCTCCCGCCCCCCCGGCCCCCGTCTTGCGTGGTTTTTCAGTAACGGTTGCAAAGGAAGTTAAAAAGAAGAAATTTGGCCTTCCAGAAAGCTTCGCTTTCCCTCTGAATTGGCTTTGTTTGCCCCATTTGATGTAATGAAGTGCTAGGGAGTAGCAGGATGCTATCCTGTCAAGAACATAATTCAGAGCTGAGCAACATAGGATTCATGGATCTCATGCCACCTCCAGGGGCCAAAATCTGACCCTAGCGCTCCGAAGAGTCCCCAGCACCTTCCTCCTCTAACTTTAGTTGGAATCACTAAAGTAAATACTGATGTTTCACACACACACACACACACACTGAAATGCCTTCATTAGCTATCAGTCTCATGTAGCCCCACTGGAGTAGAAAAGAATGCAAGTGCGACCCTCATATCCATGGGGGGATCAGTTCCAAGCCCACCGCAGATGCTGAAAAACGTGGATAATAGTGAACACTATTTTAATACTGAATGTCATACATAGCATGGTCTCTGTCTCCCTCTAGTGGCCAGTTCTGGGAACTTCATTATGGGAAATACTGTATATATTTGGGTTTATTTTTTCTTTTAATATTTTAAATATTTTGAGACCGTGGATAAGTGAATCAGAGGATAGTGATCTCATGGATAAGGGGGTCCTAACTGTAGAAAGATATACACCAGATGAAAGTTGTCTTTGGTTCAAAATTAGCTTCTCCAGCCTAAGGACTGAAGTTACGATCCTCCCCATGTCCATACTATCATTAGAGAGTGATGATGTTACTCTACTCAGCATGTGGTCTCTGATTGGCAAGGATCTTAGTCTCATGTCCAGATCTGGGACTGGCGATTGACAGTAAATGGAAAACTAGGCCAGTAACAGGGAAAGGCAATTTTTAAAAAAATCAAAAACACGGGTGCAATTCAAAAGGTTTGATGAAAGCATTTCAACTCTTGGTGTGACTTTGAACCCTTCCTCTTAGAAAGATTATCCCTCCAGGCACACAAATCTTTCTTTCAGTGCACCGGAAACTTTAGATATGCAGACAAAGCACACTGCCCCCTTACTTCTTATCTATCTGGAATCAGCATCTTATCCAGTTCCTGGTTCAACAAGCACAGGGTTTTTTTGGATCTTTCTTTGGCTGGACAGGGTAAGGATTGAACCCGGGACCTTCTGCTTGGGCGTCACGGACTCTGTCACAAACGTCTGTAGGCCTCGATCAGTTTGCGTCCACGAACCAAGATTGGTTTCTCCTTTCTTCCGGGGGGGGGTCTTATCTCAGAATTAAATCGACCCGGCGCTCCCTTGTCTATTAGGAGAATAACGGTCTCAGTCCTTTTTGTCTTACATTTCTGCTTCACAGTCCCTCGTGCTTTGTCAACCCTTTGGCAGAGGAAAAGA